AATAAAAAAAAAATACCTGAAGATTTTTATAGATCCTCTTTTACTTTTCAGTTCAAAAAGAAGTACTGTATAAGACTCTGATGGTCTAAAATTTAATAATCTTTCCTCGGGGATATGAAAGATCTAACCTAGTTAAACAAATAAAATAATATTTTTATAATAACCTTGATCACTAAATTGTGTAGTTTGCCTCTTCTGTTACATCAACACATAGTTCTGTAAGTTTATGTGACAGGTTTTTTTTTTTTTCCTAGCAAAGAAAATATTGAGAAACACAACTGTCTCATAATTTGCATGTAGAGGGTGTTTCAATAACCACTCTCTCCCTTCTTTGTCCATCTCTTTTTAGGTTGACTGGAAGCTTTGTACCAGACTTGATAGTGAGCATGAGTAGCCAAATGTGGCTCCACCTTCAAACGGATGAAAGTGTTGGATCTGTTGGCTTCAAGGTTAACTACAAAGGTAATGGTGAATTGCTACTGTAGGAAATATGTTATCTTAATACCACCAGAGAATACTTTTAAATTCCAGTTTAATTGCATTTAGAAGATAAAATTTTTCCAGAACACAAGCAAGAATACATTCCAACAAAATCATTTCCTCTCTAACTACAAATGTTGATTCCACTTAATGTTAAATATAATTAGCTTTTCCTTTAAAATGTGTCTCTTTTGCATATCTCATCTCTCTCCCAGTCCATTATAGTGTCCCTGTGCTTCAGTTGCTCTGGACTCCTCACCTTTCCCAGAAGAGATCATCCAATTATATACACATTAAATAATTTTCCTGGCCAAAAAAAAAAAAAAAAAAGTCTTCTAATTATTCAAGACTTAAATGTAACAGTAAAGATCTTAAATCCCCAAATATTCCAAATACTAACATTTTTTGTAATCCATCAATCATGTAAATCATAGACCACAAATTTGTGAAATTGCTGCTGCCCATCCCAGTGTTGGTGGAGATACAAATTAATGATTAATTGCATGTGCATATCAAAATCTTTTGTTCTAGTTTTATTTATAATATAGATGCAAACACTATAAAATCATGATTATTTTTGATACATGTTGAACCTTGATTAGAAACAATATATACACACAATGTACATATTAGAAAACCAAATTTGCAATCCTGACTGAAAAATGTGTCAATAAATTCACTTAAAGTCTATGCTTTAAAAAATGAAAATGTAAGAGACCATCAGAATGCTATGTTGTTTAACTTTATTATTACTTACCATTAAAAATCATTATTCTCTATCTTATTAATTAAACAATGGCTA